CTTCGTTTTCACGACACCTACTGAGTATACTCATTTAAAAGTGACTCATTAATCTGTACATTCAGGAATGCTATAAACCATTTTCTACAAGAAAAGTCTACTAAGAGTAAATCATCTGTCGTTGTCTCTTTTAAGTAATTTGGTCAACCAACTAAAGACAAACTTTTTAAACCGAGCAAAATGATATCGTTCTCATTTATTGTACTTTCGTGTAAATCTGCAACAAATTTATTGCCATTTTAAAGCAATTAGCTGACTAAATTTAGTAAGTAATTTAGTAAACATTGTTTCGTGACAGATTGACCCCCTAGATGGACTAATCAACACCATACATTTGAATCAGTGTTTACCTATTTAACGGAACTGGCTAAGTTAGAATGATTTTGAAAATTGTGGCATTGTAAATTGCGAATTTATAACAAATTGCACACCTTCTATATGTCAAAAAATTTTTTGCAAAAGAAAATATGCATTCAAAGAAGTAACTTTCCCCGAAAACGTGGTTTGAGATTTCTAATTTGACGATGTAACGCAAAGCGATAATACGGGAAAATACAAACGGGGAAGGTCACTGTCCAGAATCCATTTTAGAAATAGTTGAGCAGAAGTGAAGATGTCTTCCTATACTGAAGCCATTGTAGTGATTGGTTTTACATTCAAGAAGGAGACTAGTAGAAAAGAAAGGAGAAATAGCAGTCGTATTTGTGTTTGCATAACTCAGTGACTGTTACATTTGCTTGTTTCACTCTGGTACTTTAGCTAACTTTCAAAGGGAATTTAATAATTATTCTATCATTACTGTTGATTAAGGTAAAATAGAGTGATGCTATATTTGTGGAGCATTTCTAAAGGTAGCTTTTTGGTAAGGTCTACACAGTTGGAAAGTCTTAAACAGCAAATGTTTTCTTTTACTAAAAAGTAAGGAAGTGGGATGAAAATTCGTGCTATCAAATAAAACAAGCTGAGATAGCAGAAACAGGTAAGGGATGATCATTTAAAGAAGAAGCATTTATATTCTGTAAGTTTCGTAACACAACAATTTTAAATAAGGAAAATTGCAGCTATTCGGGACTATTTGTGCTATTTCAGAATTAATTCCTTGAAAATTATCTGCTTGGATTTTAGAAATTTCGAGACATATTAATGATTAGCACTAATCATTAACAAGTTTTGGAAAGTTCATTGTTTTAAACAAGTTTTTTTTCGAGATCCAAGTTAAAAAATTCTTCAAAGATTGAAAAAGGCTATTTGGGGAGCTTTAGAATCCATGTGAAAGAGGTAGCATAAAACTAGAGTCATTCTACTTGAAGTCAAGGTGATCATGATTGGAGTGATCCTGGATACTGATGACCGCCACGGAAAAAAGCGGATGACAACCGCAGATTCGCATACGAAGTGCAGCCTAAACCAGAAGTACAGATGGTGATATCCAATCAGTCATTTCATCATGTGGATGTCGATAGAAAAAAAAAGTGCTTTTTGCATATTCCTTTCATCCTAAGACTTTCCATATAGTGCCCACCAGTGATTCCAATTCCGTTAAATCCGAGACATAAATTCCTGGCTTATATAGCAAGTAATTTAGTATACGCTGAGTGCAATCAGATGAATAGCATTTAAGAATTATTTTTAACATTCAATTCAATTTAAAAATAAAAGAATTTAAGCACATTATATCATTTCTATAAGCAAACCAAATCCACTTTTCAACTTACTTTACGACAGGACATGGTTTCACAACTCTGACATTAATATGGAGAGAAAAGTGTTCACAACGCATATTCTATTTCATTAGCATCCTTAGATGTGTGTGTGTGTATGTTCATATCGTACTTAACTATCACAAATTATCGCAGGTACTTACCTCAGCGCCTGATCTATCCTGCCGCAACATTATTATTTACATGAAACATCATCCACCGGTTGTGTAAGTACAACCATCTTGAAATCTGATCTCATTGAAAAATAAGGTGCTACCTACACCCCTCTTCCATCTTATGTGACAAAACGAGCTACATAAACAGTGTGTGGGATGACTGGTTGCATTTGAGTTACACTGTGGTTACATTTTTTTTCTCTGACTGCATTTTGATAGCTCGTGTCATCGTGAGAGATCACTGTTCATTATTTGCTCTGGTTCTCGTGGGCGTACGTTCGCTTCCTGAGTGGACGTCAATACTACGTAGAATATCAAATGTCAGCATTAACTTAGCAGTTTTCAGAGATGTCATGGCGTTCGGCATTGTGCACTGTCTCCAAAGTACTTATTGGCTCCAATGGCTTCCATCTTTCGGTCACATTTTAATATAATTTGTTTAAAAATTTCGACAAGTTTTCTTAAATTTACGATATCTTGGTATAAGTTATCTTTGGCGATCTTCTTGTACTGCTTGATTTATAGCATTCCAAATCAACAGCACATAAATAATGACATCATTTAATACTCTTGGCATCATATCAATGCTTATTCAACGAAACTTTTATAAGTAGCCTTTTTTTTGTGTGGAAGCAGTATTGCTTTTGATATCTATCTCTCTTCATCAAAACATCGACGTTATTATCTCGAAAATGAACTCCATGAAGATGCAGAAGGTTAAATTATTTTATATTTTGTGACATTGTTTGATTACTTAACAGTGATTGTCATTCAGCTCAGAATGACATCAGCTTATGCAACACGTGATGTATTAAATAGCATTTCTGTACCCGAAGTTACATCCTTGAAGAATGGATTCCGTATTGTTACTGAAACTACCCAACGACCAACCATCGCCGTAAGTACTACTTCTTTTTGCTCAAAATTTTAACCTCGAAATTTCGTTTGCTCGGAAATTTTTATATTGTAAATGTGACCATTCCTATATACATTTGTATATATATCTGTTTATACAACGTGGCGTATGATTGATTTGCTTGTTGAGATGTTTATATCTTCTTTCAATTGTTACCTTCAACAGTTGCTTATAAATATAATAGTTTAATTTCAAAAGTTTGGATATGTTTTGAAAAAGCTACAGGTCGGCGTTTGGATCGATTCCGGAAGTTGTTTTGAAAACGAGGCGAACAATGGAATTGCAAATTTCCTAGAACACATGATATACCGTGTATGTGTAACTTCAAAATTCGTGAATGTTGCTCTTGTTTAAAAGAACATTCTCCATTTTGAATTAAGTATTTTTTCAGGGTACAGGAAAACGGTCGCAAACAGAGCTGGAGACTGAATTGGAGAAGATCGGTGCAAGATTTGATTCATATACTTCCAGAGAACATAATGCGTTTTATGTGCAGTGCATCGCAAAAAACGTAGAAAATGGTATTTTGAAATATAGAAGTATAAAACTCCTTGCAATGTAATAAGGAATGGATTGAGCGTATATCCCAGATGTTAAATGAATGTTTTTGCTTACTGCAGTAGTGGCACTGCTGGCCGACGTCCTACAAAACAGTAAATTAGACCAAGCGGCTTTGGAAATAGAACGTACTCGGATTTTATGTGAAATAGATAAAGCAGCTGAACATCCCAGTGAAGTGGTTTTCGATTACCTTCACGATGCTGCTTTCCAAGGAACACCTATGGCTAAATCTATCCACGGTACAGAAGAAACAGTGAGGTAAGTTTGATGTGTTGTAGATATGTATTTTTTTTATTTGTAAACTTTTCTATCATATAATGTACCCGTAACTAATAAACCTTGTTTCTGAAGTGGGTCAGTAAATGACATGTGTTAATTGAGATTATTCCCATTTGAAAGGGGATAAGGAAAAGAGAAATATACGGTTTTTGGCAGTCACTTGTACTTTCATACTTGAAGGAATTTGACACGAAATGATCTGCTCAAATATGTAGATGCTCAGTACAGACCATCTCGGATGGTATTAAGTGCAGTTGGTAACATCGAGCATTCTCAGATTGCAAACCTTGCTGAACGGTATTTTGGCAATCTTTCGACTGGTCAGTCAGGAAATGCTCCTGATTCGAAAGGAGTTCGTTTCACAGGAAGCGAGGTAATTTTTAGTCTTAGTGAATGCATAGTGAACTTCGTGTGTGTTCTGAATATTAGGTATCAGAGTAGCGCTTCATTGTTCTAGTGGATTACTTGTGGGTGGACAATTTCTTAACATTGTTTTTCAATTATGTATTTTTTATTCTTCACAATCCATTTAATTGATGCTACTATTTCAGTTCCTGTATCGGAATGATGATATGCCTTTTATGTATGGCGCATTGGCAGTTGAAGGCGTTGGTTTCAGTCATCCTGATGCTATTGCATTGAAGGTTGCAAGTGCGGTAAGCCAAAGCCGTATGTAACTGATTCCCTTGTTATTTATCTACCCTCTAAAAGAGATTAGAGTTGTAAAAGTTCAGCATCTGCTAGAAAATATTGCTATCAATGTAAGAATGAAATTTTCATGCCGGTAAGAAGTGTATTTTTGAAAAATTAGTTGTATTTTTTAGATGATTGGTGATTGGGATTGCACACAGCTGTCATCAACTAACGCTGTCACTGCTGTTGCGCAGAAAATCTCTACAAGCTATGGTATGCAGCAGTTGAAGTCGTTTTCCATCAATTATGGCAATTGCGGTTTGTTTGGGTTTTATGTCGTTATGAACGGTAGCGATGTAGCATCTACGACATTCGGTATGAAAGAAGTTATTCGGGGTTGGTAAGTAATCATTTGATTTTGGATTAGCAATTTCTCACTAGATTAGATCATATTTAGGATGATGAGGTCGGTCGGAATTTAATTGAATGGTTAGGCTTTTAATGGAAAATATAAAACTTGTTTTAAGAGACAGGTTTCAAAAGCCAGTTAGTTTGATGACGTTTGAAGACATGCGACACAGTAATGAAGGAAATGGTTTCAATGTAAATGTAGAAAAATGTCGAACTTAATATAATTACTACCTGTTCAAATTGTCAGTGCTCCTTACTGAGAAATTTTAAGGAAAAGGTTGGCTGTAGGAGTATCTGAAGAAGAGGTTGAGCGAGGCAGAAATATGTATAAAACAATAGCATTTTCGGCATTGGAATCAAGCGTTACACGTGCTGATGATATTGCTAAACAGGTGTGTAAAATATTTCTCCGTGGTTGAACTCTTGCTCTATTCATGTTTGAAATTCTGGTAGTTAACGTTTTTATTCAATATTTCTTATATGGTCGAATATTTCATTTGTTAATTTTATTTGATGTAAGCCAAATACAGCAATCAATGCAACTGTTATTTATAACAGTGCTTTTCGGGTTTTCATATATTATCAACTGAATACTATAAAATTGGTCTTTTAATATATGAACTGTATTCTCTGTAGGTTCTTTATTCTGGTACGGTGCAATCATTGTCCGATCTTGAGAATGCTATTGAAAGTGTAGATAAGGAGGCAATAAGAAAAGCTATGGACAAACACGTCTATGATCGAGACTTTGCAATTGCAGGAATTGGTATGCAATGCTTCCTTTTTTCTTCGCAATTCAACACTATAAGTCAAATTTACGTACTGTAAATTATGAACTATCTTTAGACAATCTTTGCAATTGACCTCCCATTCCGAAAGCTTTAGATCTACTTTTTTACAGGACGCACCGAAGCTTGGCCGGATTACTATCAAATGAGAATAGGCATGAGTGCTTGGCGGTTATAGAACAGTAATGTTATTTTTTCAGTTATATTTCGATATTTCAGTAGTATTGCAGTTCCTTATTATTCTGTATTATTCTATTGGATTCTTTCCTTATTGTAACGCGAATAAACTTTGTAACTTTATCAGGTTGCTGTAATAGGTTTGATATCGTATTCTTCATTCTCTATTGAAAGGACGTATAAATGGTGATCATGTTTTGAAGATTTTTTTGACTGTACTTGTTTGCGACCATCCTTATTTGTGAATTTGCCTGAAATATGCTGTTTAAATTTTTTAGGTTTTCTTTCATGGCGTAGTTTTTTTTCCTTTTTTTTATAGCTTATGTTAATCGTCTAAATTACATTTCCAGGTGCTGTAAAAAAATTATGGCAACTTTAGTGAGGTCTCATCAAGCAGCTTTAAAGAGGGTAATGTTTGCATATATCGTATATATTTTTTCGTTGTCAGCGATGAAGCTTTGATAGGTCCATGTTTTCTAGTATACTGGAATATTTTCCAGTGCTTTCAACAGTAGGTCGGAGAAATATTTAGCGGAAGAAATATTACTAAAATGATTTGTATATGAAAAATATTTTTCGTATAATTTGGTTTTACTTCAGGTGTGTGGAGGTCAGCCAGTTGGATATTTGCAAATACCAATCCCCATAAAGAATAAGGGCGTCGCTGTCCCAGTGGTAATTTCATTCAACCGAAATTCGTGGTTAAATACCCCGTCTTCGGACCACATGCTGTCTACGGTTTCCGTTAAACGAATTATAAGTTAGTGAGAAGTCTGGATTAGTTTTTGTCATTTTTGTTTGAGCGTAAAGGCCTATTATGATTCTTATCCAATATTATAAATAGTTATTCGACCTGAATATCACTGAGCATTCAGGTCGTGTTCCAAGACTTTTGCAAATATGATGAATTATATTTTAAATACGCAAACAGAATGTGAAGTTTCGTGAATTCGTGGTCAGTGGATGCAGATCTTTACTAGCGACATATTTTGTTCAATCAATTTTTTTCCAGCAATACCACGTCGTTTAATCCACACTGATGTAACGTTTCCAAAATATCGCGACGGTGAAAGAACGAACGCAGCTAGTGATTCAACAAAAGCGGCTAGAGATACTGAGGATTTGCGTCGCGCAACGGCCCAAGGGTTATTGTTCGGAGGTCAAAGTCATTTCCATATTTTTAACGTTTTGCCCTGCTTCTGAAATTTCTATTCTTTACAGGCTTTTCATGGTGTTACTTAGTGATAATTTATAGTAAACGGAGCAGTTTATCTCTATATGGCTACAAAGTTTGTGCAATCACTTGTCACTTACAAAAGTATGCCAGCCGATCAGTTAGCTATGGCAAATACGGAAATTGATCTGGACGAAATTCCTGAGGGGCAGGTAAATCCGATCTCGAAACTTCGTAAACAAAGTTTCGATTTATGCCTAAGAAGATCTCGAAACTTCGTAAACAAAGTTTCGAGATCTTCGTAGGCATAAATCTGTTTTATACAACATCCATTATAATAGATCCGAAGGACTATATGTTTTGTAACGAGCTTCACAATCTATTCAATGTCGAAATAAGAATTAGCATTAGCACCACAGTGATAATGTATTTGGTCACTCTTCGTTATTTAAAAATTTTGAAAGTTGATTTTGTTGATATTTGTACGGTATTCCAATATGATTGCATTCAGTAATGTTCTTATAAAAATCTCCATCCGAGCTGTTTTTCAAAATCTTTTAGTGCAAAACGTATACTTGGCGTGGAAAACCGTTGTTTGTGGCTCATCGTACTCAAGATGATATTGAAAAAGCGAAAAGTGTCAATTTAAGCGAATTGCGTGATCCACAAACCGATGATGAACGAGTAAAGAAAGATGAATGGCTTGTAACTATAGGTGTCTGCCCTCATCTTGGATGTGTTCCGTTAGGTTGGAGCATTTCCAATATATAATGTTTTAATTTTTAAGAGGAATTCAGAGAATTCAGTTAAAGGGATAGATTAATTGTAGTTTCAGTGTGACACAATCGTCTTATTTCATGAGGCGAGAGCAGGCTATAGTCCATCACGAAATGTTATGCTGAATAGTGAGATAAATTGATGTTTGTCTTAGCGGCTGTACTGACAAGTCTATGAGGCGTTTTTAATCGAAGTAAGGAGCACAATATATATATTTGTGCAAGCAAGTGATTTGTCATTAAACAGGGCTCATTATTTCTATTTTGCAGCAGGAAAAGGAGATTTTGGCGGTTACTACTGTCCTTGTCATGGCTCCACATTTGACACCTCTGGTCGTATACGCTTGGGACCCGCACCAAATAATCTCGAAGTACCACCTTACCAAATCACTGATAATAATAAATTGATTGTGGGCGATTGAACATGGGGTTCAACGAATTATGCGAATGAAGTTTTATCGTTTCGTTAAGGAACTGTTAGAGATGTGAGATTTTGAAGGAATGATGAAACGTTTGGAAGACAAAGAATAGAATGTAGTAGTTTTCTGTGTAAATGCTTTGTTTATTGTATCTCAGCGTTTTCGGTATATCTCTTCTTACGCTTACTCATCCACTTTTTCTTCATTTTTACTATTAGATGATTTAGCCCCATGCAGGCAGTCTCCTCAATTGCTGATCAGAAAGTTGCCTCGTTTTATAGCATTCGTTACCGTTCCTGCTCTTTACTGAAAACTTTCGGTCTTAACTAGTTCCCATTTTTATTTATTTTGTTAATCTGTAGATTCCACTGTAATTTGTATTTGGTTGAAAATTTGATATACGTTATGTCCATGCAGCTTTTCGATTTTTATGGTTCTTTGAGATGAATAATTTGCATAAAGGGGTCAATGATGAGTTATTGTTTGATATGTTGCTGTTTCACGGAATGTAAAAGTCCGTCTGCTCGTTGTGTTCTTTAATTGAGACTTATGGAAAAATAAGAAGTTGCAGTAAGATTGCAGCTCATTGCCTTGATTCCTTTGAAGAGCTTGTGTCATTTCGACAGTGTTGCTTAGGTTGCCTTGGTCTCGTTTCACTGGAATCATGTCTGCTTTTATGGTTCTACGCACCTCTTTGTGTACCTTCCCTACTGGTAACTTGATGTATCTTCATTCACTCCCACTTTACAGTTCCGCGATTCAATAGTGAAATGCTTTCATCATATCTCTCCACAGTAATTCGTCTCGCCGTTTTTGTTTGACGCAGATGAGCTGGTTATGGCACGCTAATTTGGTTTAGGGATACATCGTTACATCTCAACAAATTAGATGTTTGGAGAGTATTTCAAATTTCTCCTGAATTCTGAGTATGTTGAGCGGCGTGGTATGGGTGATATGGGTCTGTCGCCTCGTGGCAGAGGTTTCAAAGGTTGCTTTGTAGGGTCGGTGAGGTGATCAGTGTTTTCGAACTATTTTAATCTCGAAAGAGACCTGAGGCGTCAGTAAGGCAATGACATGCACTATTGCTGCTCTAACAATTCTAGCATCATGCCATCTTAACTAGCCAAATAGTCATTTCTGGCAAGAAAACTACGACATATTGTTCTATCCTTTAACTGTTGTACTTTTCTCACATTCTACTTCAAAACATAAATTCATTGATAAGGGAGAAAATGAAAAAAAAATGCATTTCTCTCCCATACTAATTTTTATCACTTTTCCACTGTAGATTTTTTTTTGTCATCTTTCCTTTTTCATATATATATATATATATATATATATATATATATATATATATATATATATATATATATATATATATATATATATATATA